AGCAATGCTGAAGTTAATGAATTTAAGCGCCAACAGAATAGATTATGAAATCAACAAAATGGCGAATCGATGAGACCAGTTACCTGTTGCGAGGGTGCTAAAGTACTGGAATGTTGATGGAGATATAGCTGCTGGGCGAGACTTTGTTGCTGTTGTTGTTGTTGTTGCTGAAGAAAGCATTGAGCGCAGTTGGCCAAAGCCATTTCTTGAGGCAGCCGTCGCCGCTGCTGCTGCTGCTGCTGATGCTGCGGTAGATGTTGTCTTGAAACCGTGACTGACGTGTCGGACGTCGGTCGTTGAGTCATCAAATCAGGAGCTCGTTGCGGAATCTGCGCTAGGGTCTGGGAAGATGGTTGTGCTGGAACGTTGGGGCCGGGTAATAACAAAGTAACCGACGGGGCAAATTCTGGGATCAATTGCTCAGGCACCTGGTAGAAGTTTTGAAGCACTGCTGGAAGATAATTAGGCTAAAATGATCAACGAAATCAACTGTCAGACACTTTTAACCTACTGTGGAGTTAAATAATTACATTGTTAGGACTCATATGCACAAAGTTCTAGAGGCTCTCTATTACTGGCTAAAGCTCTTGTGTGTTTGTTTGCTGAGCGGTTGATTTTGCTGAGCAGCGGTGACTTCTTCAAGAAACCTCCAATTTCCCAATTCCTGACACATCTTCACGTCTGGTTTAAGCTTCTTTACCACTTCGCTAACGGCTCGCTCAGTCACTGTTGTCTGCATGTACGCCAGACACATGTGCATAGACTTGCTATCAACAAGCATTGCGATGATCTCCACCGCCTTCTTCTCCCGTTAATTTGAGGGTTTCACGCCGTTGCAAATTATGTTTGTGAAATTGTTGCCCAGGGATTCTGAGAGGGCTTTACGGGCATACCATCTGCTTGGCAGCACGCAGCATCTGAGCTGGATTGAGTTGCATGGCGAAGTCCTTTCTCACCACGGTTTCCACTGTGGGCACGGTGATGAGGCAACAGCGTTCAAAAAGTGGCGTGATGAGTTAAATGACTGCCTTCTCGATAGCGGTAGGATGAGCTGGCGAATCAACGGTTCCGAGTGCGAAATAGCCATGGCTGACACAGCAGCTGCCGCGTGACCTGGAAATACACCACCACTACTTACATATTGGCTTGAAGACTGTGCGTAGACAGCGGTCCGTTGAATTAGCTCATCAACGTTGATGCTCGAGCTCACTGTTGGGAGTTGTGCATCATCGTATCGCCGAAGCAGGCCACCTGCACTGCTGAAAGACACAGACTGTGCAGCATCTGCTAAGAGAAATGGGACATGGGATGGTTTAAGTGGCATGATTGAAAAGCAGATTTGAAAAAATCTCCTGCAGACATCAA